ATTTTTATATGATTCGATAGAGCTCGACAAGCTCTACAAAACTATATACTTCAAAAGTACGTTGAGCCATCCTTTTCTGATAATAGATCCAAAAACTACTTGCAAAATCACGAAAAATATTTGAAAACACGACTTTTTTCTTGTGGAGGAAAACACTCGATTTTTCAATAAAATTAAGTTTCATTCATTATTTTTGATGTTTCAGACGTTCAATAATGTGTTCATTCGATGCAGGTTGTTATGCGGCATCGAATGAGCACTTTTCAAAATGTTTCAACTAACATAACTAATGAAAAAAGCTAATGTTATCGGAAAACTGTTTTTTTCATCTCAAGAAGAATACGAACTTTTTGAAGTTTTTAAAGATTTTCCGAGTAATTTTTTTAATTTTTTATCAGAAAAGGATGGCTCAACGTACTTTTGAAGTATATAGTTTTGTAGAGCTTGTCGAGCTCTATCGAATCATATAAAAATATCTGAGAAAAATGTTTTACTTCATTTTTGAATTACTCCTCCTTACTTTTTTATACCAAAAAGGTATCAAATTTCCGAAAGTCTCAGAAGTTCGACATTAAAAGGTCTCATAACCTTTATCATTTAATACCAATAAACGCAGTTTTTTACGAGCTTCTATTTAGTATAAAATATTTACTGAAATCACTTTATCTTAAGGTTGAACCAGGGAGGCGTAAAGGTTTTGAACCACCCTGTATAGTAGGGAGGAGTGGGTCGACCCAGAACCGGACCCGCCCGGTCCCGAAAGAAAATTTAGTAGACCCAGCTTCTATATAATTAGCTTGTAATTTCGACAAAATGAAATTGAAATCAACGTATTATGTGATATTTGTCGTTGCATTTGCAAGCATCGATTCGATTATTCTAGCAATAGTAATATAATACACTAAGAATAAATATGAACGAACAGAAATAATGGTGTATATACATTGTAAAGATTTTTCTGCCAGTAATCCATTACAAGTGGTTACGAACTTATTTCTTTATATTTCCTTATACACAGAAGGTGCTATATATTGGTAAAGAGAATCCGGGTATAAGAAAACGTGGAACCGCTACTTCCTATCGGTCAACCAACATCGTTTATAGTAGAGAGAAGATTAGATCATGGTGATAAACGACTTAATTTCTCATTTTTTTTTTGCACAACAGAAGGCTTCATACTTATCAAATTCTAATTCAAGATCCTCATTTCAAACTAATTCTGATTTATTTCGATTATACAAAGTAAGTTATGAGCGTTCAATATATAAACAACTTGCATCTTGACGAGTATTGTGGTTAAGATCTCTTGTCAAAGATGATACATCCTGTATATTGTTTTGTAGCCATTCCCTAAGGTTTTCTCCCAGGTTATTATGGCACGGTCGGTTCCGGCCGGTTAGGTTCGTTTTTCGACCATTTCCTTGGCGCCGGATTCCGGCTGGAAGTTCAAACGTAGGTTCCAGTCATTTCCCAACCGTTTCCTGCAAACTTCGAGCTGGAAACGGTCAGGAACTGATCGGATATTTCCTGTGCAATTCCAACCGGAATCCGGTGGCAAGGAACCTGCCGGAACCTGCTGGAATCGGCGAAAACTGTGCCGGAATCGAGAAGAGCTGTACCGGAACCGACTCAGATTTCAACGGATCCAGTCGCCGGAATGATCGACCTGGGCTTTGATTGAGATTTCGCCTGAGTTTGGTTGATCATATCGACATCAAACATTGAGTATTTGAAGACTGTTCATTTTCATAATAAGATCATAGACACATGTCCGATCTTTGACACCGATGGTCAGAATTCGACATTGCATGCCAAGTGTCGAACAACTAAGTTGATCACATTGCTGTGCAGTATAATAGAAGTCAAATCCGGCACTACTCCTCAAATTCAATTCGAATATTGACACACTCTTAATATCACATTGAGAAAAATTAAGAATAGCTGATGGCCATCCATGAAAATGTAATGAAGTCAAACAATTATTTCGTTCTAATACACCTTTCAATAGATTGAGACAATTCATTTCATCAGCATAAGCCAATGGGTTACATTGATCGTTACTATAGAGAAAATGATTTTGCACCGAGAGATCGGCGGTAAAATGTTCAATATTCGAAAAGTGAATGTGAGATAAAGATAAACATTCATGAAGTCTATGAGATGCGGCATTAAATGTCAGCCTGCGCACACGCTCGAAACGTAATGGAAGTTAGCAGCGGATTCGAGTATTTCTTGCTGACATTCGTCCCAGTACTTGGGATATCTCTGGAACTTCTGGGATGTATAGGTCTCGTCATTCTGCATCGAATGGTGTAACATGCATCTGGTTTATTAATTTTTGAGATACTGTCACCAAGAACAATGCTAATTAGCAGTAGATCACACACATACAACCCATTCTCCCTCACTCATTGGTTCATTCTTGTGGGCCAATGGAAACAAGTAACGCTCATCCTTTGGATTAGCTTACCCTTTTCTGAAAGATTTTTCCTAATGCTCAACACATTCAGAGACTTTGAAGCAGAAAAAACACACTGCGATTGCTACTAATGCTCAACTGAATCATGACACTATGTCACACACTAGAACTAGAATGAATAGGATACAGAGGTCCTTTTAGGAATCAGACCGATTAGTCATTTGTCAGTGGATAATTTTCCAGCACTAACTATGTTAACTTGAAAATTCATCGCTCAACGGCTAGTCAGACGACCACTCACGGCCAACCATTGACCTTTCTCATCTGGTTTTCTATTTTCACATCACGCCCATGGAAATTTTCATAAATGCTTTACTAAGTCACTCATAGACGGATGATATACNGGTGCGTTTAATTATCGATAAAACCAGGGTCTCTCTAACGATGAGACCATTCTGGCGATATTATTTTGATTGCTATAGGTGTTTTTATTGTAAAAATCGTATGCTTCTCATCATTTAATAAATGAGAGGGGGCAGATCATACTGCACAATAATTTAGGCGATGTCATCACCAATTATTATTGTAATAGTTGGTGGAAAAGAGGCGAAATAGAGATGAGAGGTAATGCGGCCATTGCGTCGCAGTTGCACCACAACTGCGATTTTTTCACCACAGTTGTGCGTAACTGCGACTTTTTCGTCGCAGCTGCGCGCAGTTGCGACGCAATTTTTCGCAATTACGGGTCACAGTGCGATCGCAGTTGCGGCGCAACTGCGTCGCAATCTGACCGCAATAGCAAACATGGGTGAGTAGTGATACTTTTTGTGCCATATGAACCTATAAAATGAATAATCAATGAAGAAATTTTCTTTTTATATTATAGATAATATTTCAAGATAAAGAGAAAATATCTCATGTATTCATAAGAATCTTTGATATTTATTTTCTTAAATCTATTGCGAACTGCCACTAATAAAAGTTTTCTTTTACAATACCAACATTCTTCAAAAGTCATCTTTACTATTTTCGTTAAAGTGTTCATTCGAAAAGACTTATACGATTAGTTTAAATACTTTCATTGATCTTGTCTTGAACTTTTAAATAGATATATTATAAAAATCTTTGAAAACAACTTACTAGTGGATGCGAAACTGATTACTATTGTCGTCATAGTCGAAAAAGTGGTTATTGGCATCTCCGTTGTTTGAACAGTGGTTAATACTGTTTTGATAGATGAAACTATTGAAGTTATAGTTGATGACATTGTTGACAACATTTGTGTTGGTGTCGAAGGTATTGGAGGTAATTGAAATAAATAAACAGAAGCATTGTTATTTTCAAGAAAAGCATAAATTGAAGAAAAGTTTGTATAATAGGAACATAAACGTCCATCTTGTACACAATTGATGATACTGTAATTCCTAGTTGAATCAATTATATAACATAAACATTCGTTACAACTGTTTGAGAATTGAAAGGTGAGCGAAGGATTAATGATTGCCGGATCTGGTACATAGATAGACTGAGAAATTCTTCCAATTCTCAAAGTTGATACAATATACATACACTTAACAAAAGCAAATACCATCGAAACATGATCTATGATTAATAAAGACAAATCATATCTAAAAATTGATCAAAATGAATTACTATATGTTTGTGGATTTTGATTTCTTATTTTGAATTTCTATAAATTCAATTGAAAGTCTGTGCGACATTACTGTTCTTTCTTAGTTCGATATTTCGTTAACTTTTGGTTTCCACACATCAAACAATCTGAAATCATAGATGATTTCTTTCTATAGGAGATGATATTTCATAGGAAAATAAAACGTATCTCAAACAAAGAACTATAATTCAATGACGACTATCTGGATTTCTTAAACTATTAAATTAAAAATATTATTTATGTTGATATCAATATATAACTTCTTATATCTGAGACAAGATAAATGTATTTCTTCATTTTACCGTCATAAATACCATCAAAGAACTTACTTCATCATTCTTTTATTATATTGAAACTATAATCTCAATTAATGATTGAACTTTTCGCGGTTATTTCCTCTCTTTTTATTTTTGTAAATGTTCTTCTAGAAAAATCCTTTCCATTGAAATGAGTAGGAACGATAAACATCAATTTCGATGGCTGGGTACTTAATATAGTACTCAAGTGTCATCGTGGGTTTGATACTTTAAAATACATACTACGAACAACAATTATCGTAATAAAGTTGTACCAAGGTGCTTTATACGATTGTTTATAAATGTATGAAATGAAATCCATCATATATTTTAGAAGACTTTTCGAAATGATCTATCAGTTCAAAACAGGAATGAGAAAATCTTCAATTGTATTTTAAGAATAACTATTTGTAATACGATTTTATTAAAAGAAAATGTTCTTTCTTTAATAGATTCATTAGAATTGTTTCTCTTGATTATAAATACAATATAAATATTCACCATATAATGCGAATAATTTAACATAGATCTATGTCTGCATCTCGCCCTCAAATTGATTTTGTTAGTATTGTTTAACTATTTTCTACTTACACGAAATGAATAATTATTTGAAAATAAGAGAATATCTTCTGTTTTACATAAAACTACATTTCATTTCAGATATTTTTTGAAAAATTCTCTTTCTTTTTAATACGAGTGAAAGCTTGAGAAAAATACAAAAGATGAGTGTCAATACTTTCTTATCAATCTCAGACAATGAATAAAAGCTTTCTTCTCGATTTTCTATTTTTGATAAAAATGATGAGTGAAAAACAATTAACAACATTTGAGAAAATCTTCAAACATTCCAGATTTTTCTTTAGTATTGCGTATATATGTAAAAATGGTTAATAGTTTCGTCTAAGTATGAGTAACGTTTAAATTCGAATTCGAATATAAATGAAGATTTCAGAAATAAATCTGAGCATTAAATTCATATAAAAAGAAGATATAAGTTTAGATATTGATATCTACAGTTCATATTCAAACAAGAATATATCTGTTTATAGGAGAACGTATGATAAATTGTAAGTAAATGAACTTCAAAGACAATTATAACAAAATGCCTGATAATAGTTGTTTGTATTTGAACTTAAAATAAACAAGTCATGGATCTTTGATTTATTTTCATAATGAAAATTTCTAATTAAAAAATGTGAAATGATTAATTTGATTTTGATTCTGACAAATTTGTGAAAAATCTTTAAATTTGAGATAACGTTGTTGAATATAATTTAGAAAAAGAGATAAAGGACAAGATTGTCCTGGTCCTTGTGAACAATATGGAATGGGTTTTGGTGTTGAATTAATTAATATTCGAATGAATATTTCCGTACCACATTGTAATCTTTCAAAAGCAATTCTCGCTAAAAATGGAAGAATTTCACTTGTTTTCCATAATCTTTGATGATCAATTTGATTTAATGATAAATTTGTTTGATTAAATAATCCTAAAGCATTTAAAATTAAAGGAAACATTTCTCGATGAGTAATTGATAAAAAAAGATTTTGTTTTGTTTGTTTTTCTTTGAAAAAAAGATCGATTGTTGCTTTAATCCAAGGCATTCCTAAATATGTTGATAAATAATTTCCATAAGAAATTTCATAAAAATATTTTAAATCAAAATAATATTCAAATGAAATCCAATCTTCAGATGAAAATAAACGACAAAATTTCGATTGTCCTTTAATAATTGTTTCATATCCACATAATTCTTGCATGGCTAAAATATCTTCAGGAATAAATTGAAAATTTGAAATATTTTTATTAAATTTTTTTAAAATTGATTTTGTATAAATTTTTAACCAATAATTGGCTTCAATTGAACCTTTTGATGCATTATATTTATGACAAGATTTTGTTGGTGTTAAAGTATTTCCACCACGTGATTTCTTTTCAGAAATGGAAATTAATTTTGCTGATGTTTTTTCACCTTGAAAAAGACCTTGAGAGATCGCTAAAGCACTTTGATAAGTTCGTGATGATGATGCTGTCCAGATTCGAAAAGAATTCGAATTGTTTTTAGGTAAAAGATGTTTATAACGATATGAAAGTTCAATACCAAATTGATAAGCTTCAAAATAACCATATCGAGTTAATTTTTCAATTTGTTTCTTTGAATTTGTTATTGGACTCTTCCATTGAGATAAAAAGGAAAAAATATTCGATTGACTAAAATTTTGACTTTTAATTCGTTTTAAAAATGGTTCAATAATTTTTAAATAATCATAATCATCGACATAAACTGAACCATGACGAATTAAATAAGCTGTTTTATCAACTAAACATTCCGAAGGTATTGAAGGACTTAATTTATCAGTATTTGAAGAGAAATATGGAGAAATTCCAGATAAATGATGGAGAACATGAAATTTATAATTTGGATATGTTCGATCAGAGAAAAGAATTTCATCTTTATAAAAATGAATACATTTTATGGAATTTAACAAGGAAATTTGCAAAATGAAAAGAAGATTTATTCTCATCATAATCATCTGAAATCAAAGAAGAAAAGAAAAGAAAATCTTCTCTTTCTTTTTATTCATCGACAATGAACTTTATATGAGATTTTCAAATATTTCTTTGACATTTTCATCAAAGAATAAAAAGGAACAAATCTGTTCTTTTATTTGTAAATGTCGAAGAAAATTTACTTCGCGAACTCTATGTATTACAAAATGTCGATCTTTACAGAATTTCATTCTCTTTTCAAAACTTATCGAAGAAATGAAGGGCGAGGGCGTTTATAAGAACATATATCAACTCATTGACTTTTTATTAGAAGATACATGAAGAAACTACAGATATCGATAGATTTCACCTAGACGAACATTTGGATACTAGTTTCGATATGCTACAATGGTATTTTCATATTCCTAACTGATCCTGTCCGATATAATGATTTTGGATCCATCTTAGTACTCGATAGCAAAATAAATACCATAAGTTGTCGCGTTTTTTTTTCAATAGCTAGCTCGAAGTTAGATCTTCAAAATTAATATAAGATGTTACTATCTATATCGTTGTTCAAGCTGGCCAAAATAGCGTAAAAATAAGGAGTTTTGACCTTGATAGAGCTATATCTCGCGAACAACAAGATATTCGTTCGTGAATGTTTTACCATAATTAGATTATATCACGAGCTTGAAAATTGCTACGACTATTCTAAGCATAATCATTAAAATAGGGCATTTTTCACCCAGATATGATAGCAAATACTTTTTATCATTAAGATTATTTAGGAATTAAACGCAGTTGTCTTTCTCAGTATATAAATGAACTTGGTTGGCAATCTTTGTTGTTTTCATCAATATTTGCATCAACACAAATGAAAATATTTTCGATATTATTTCTACTTATATAATATTGTTTAAAATAAGTTAATTTATCTTTCTTTATTCTCTGATAATTTCAAACATTTGAATTGAATGATTTATATCATCAATGGATATTACACACACGGAATTATCCAAATATTCAAATTGCTACAAATGCGGATAAACTCATTAAAATCTTAAACATGTAAATTATACAGGAATGATTCAATAGAATTGAATAATATAAAAAATTATGATGAACTTTCTGGAAATTGAGGATATGTTCTCTATTATAATCGATAATCTTTGACGAGTCGTATATTCTAAATAAATACGCAGGTTTCCATATAATTTCATTTATTATCAAGATTATTTCATCTTTCACACACCCTAGTTCATCATGGTAAATTCTTGTTTTTTTTTCTTTTCAGATTGTATATTTCAATAATAACATCATCAACAGCAATTCTATACTTTTCAAGTCAACAAACTCTTTGGAATGTTTATCTAATTTTATCCTTAGAATGTAACATCGTAAAAATATTTAATTTTCTTCGACGACAATTTTGTACAATGAAATTTGCTAAATATTCTGTTATTATTATTTCTTGCATTTAGCTTGGTATCATAGTATTGATTTTGCTTTATTTTTTTCTTCTGGACCATTCATTGGATGTTTTATTTCTAAATCCTTTTATATAATATCATATCTGGATTTTTACCAATGATAATCGCAGGAATACTTAGTTTATTTGCTTTTCAGAATGTTCATCGAATTTTTCGTCGTTATTTAGATCAACAAAATGATTGCAATGGTTTTTCTTCGTGTAATCTTCTTTATTGAATTGATTTTTCCGCATAGTTGTTATCGTATGTAAAAACCATTACACATTTACTTCGAACACTTTTTCAGTTAGTTCTCTGTTTGAATGAATTCAGGAGTAAGTAATTAAGAACTGTTTTCTTTTTCTTGTGACATCATCCCGTTTTCGACGTCAAGTCCAATCTGTTCTTGTTAAAAGTACTGATATTATATCAAACATGGGTGTTGATTTCATGATTGCACCAAATAACTCCCAATTTAATGAAACAAACAAAGAACTCGAAGAGATTTAAACAGTTTTTGTTGGTGTAAAAGTTCTATTTTTTTCTGAGAGAAACTGTTATACAATATTAAAATCATCGACTTGAAATACATCGGTCCTATCCAATCAGAATGTAACATTCAATCAAATAACAAAAAACAAACACTCAAGAATAAAAATGAACATGTCTACTTCATTTGTCTAAATGAAAGAATACCTTAACAATCGATCTCCATTCATTTCATCAATATTCAAATCTTGAAACATTTTATAATTAGTTTTTTTTTCACGATCTTATCAATTCTCATTTGTTCACGGATTGAATATCGTGCTTCCATGATATCTTTTATAACAAATGGATTGATATTTAAAGATCTCATAACTATTGGCCAATTTCTTAATCTCCTCGGTTCATTTGCAATATGCCATTCTTCATCAGAATATTTCCTATCATAATTGTCAATAGATGGAACTGTATTTGTAAAAATTTGGTCGGTTAGATGAATGATTGACGGTGTAACTGTAGTTTGATAGAACAATAGTGGTGATCCTAATTTTTTTTGTTCTTGCATTTCATCATAGAAATATTTGAATAATTTTATTACAACGCCAGTATTTTTATATTTATCATTTACTACGACAAAACGATAGTAGACAACGGGAATCTTTTGATTACGACGGAGAAGAGTGATTTCTTTTCTGTATTGAATGAGACTATAAGCAAGAATTGAATTACTCTGTTCACATTGACGAAGTACATACAATTGATTGCTTTCTTGAACAGCATTTTGAATTATTTTATAGGAGTTTTGATGAGAAAACGAAGCGACTTGAACTAATTTATCGAATATTTTTGTTCCAGGTTGAAACTCATGTTCTTGATATCTTTCGTAAACATAATTGTATAGTATTCGGAAAATATTTGATTGTAGCAAATACACTTTTCGTATTGATCATGTTATTTTCAGAACTCATTAGCTTTTCACTTCGTTCATTATAGTGATTCAGTTTTTAGTAGAAGTATGAATCAGATGCCATGTTCCCTCGACTGAAAGGAGGGTCATACGAAAAAAAATAGTTTGTATGTTTGTCTGTCTGTTTGTGTCAGGGTCAAGGGTCAAAGGTCAAAAAGACATTTTCTTCAAAAAGCCTCAAAACGTCAAGAAACATGGTTTTGGAGGGGTGTTGAGGTTAGATCTTGGTCGAGGGCGGGGGGCGGGAGGGCCGGGGTCAAGGATCAAGGGTCAAAGGTCAAAAAAACATTTTCTTCAAAAAGCCTCAAAACTTCATAAAAAGTCGTTTGATCGAACTTAAGCAAAAATTGAAACCAACAGCCATTTGTCAATACGAAACAAATTTATGTTGCGGGTCAATTTCTACATTTTTTCTAGAGAACTAGCGTCCTCGGCTAGTCCACAAACATATCCTACTGGATGGGACGCTAGGACGCTGTTATACTAGGAAAGAATATATTCCCTCGACTGAAAGGAGGGTCATATAAAAAAAGTTTGTTTGTCTGTCTGTGTCAGGGTCAAAGGTCAAAGGTCAAAAAAACATTTTTTTGAAAATGTTCACAACTTCATGAAACATCGTTTGGGAGGGATCCTGAGACTCGAGGTTGGCTGGAGCAGGGGTGAAGGGGCAGGGACGTGACAGAAATGAAGAAAACATTTCATCCGCGCCTGAGAGGAAGGCTACATAGAAGAGTTGATTACGAAAAAGTAAAAACACACTCGGTTGACTGTCACATACCAAAGACCAGTAATCCAAAAATACATTCATTCGCAAGTTACATACTGGAGAGCAATCTTAAATGCTGACCTTCGATATATTGAAAGTTTTGTAGGTCTGGCCTTTAAGCCTTTTAATTAAGGAGATAGCCTCAAATGTTCGAATGCGGATAGTTTTATGTATGAGATGCTGATGGAATGCTAATTAATTTTCGATACTTTTTAGTAGCACACGGGTAATTATACGACAGATAGGGACAGCTTTGGAGCGGCGAGTTGTGAGTGGCGCCCCTATGGGGCGTCGACGAACAACGACCTGCGCCTGGTAATCTAGCCAGTTACCAAAGTATCAACAATCGGACACGTTCGAATGCGAAATATATACAGAGTCTCATTTGGTCTTACAGAAATTATCTTTCTTTTAGAAAAATGAGGACATGTTTAAAGGTGCAAATCCATAATAGTCATTTATAGCGAACTTCTTCCTGTGAAGAGTAATTGTCAGTCAGGAATATAGAATAATTAAAAGGAACACAAGTAGTCCTTTGACTCTTTTGAAGACTGTGAGGCGAATGAAGATCAGTCTCTGGGGACCCTTTCAAAGGTTATATTTCTGTCTTTTTTTTTGCATAAAACACACATAAGACTATTCTATTTCCCGTCAGTGGTTCAGTCGAGGGCATAGCGAGTCTGCCTCGACGAGCGTTACTAGTCAGTTAATGTAGGCGATTTCAATGGGGACACTTATCTAGACCTACTTGTTACTGATACTGCTCGACTTGGGGATAGTTCACAGGATCATGTCTATATACTGTTTAACAATGGTTTTGGATATTTCGGTGAGCCGATTGTACTTTTGGCTGAACTTTATATTCAACCAATGTCGTTAACTGTTGGTGATTTTAATAATGATAATTATATAGATTTTGTCGTGGTCAATTCAAACCGAAATATTTTGGTTGTAATGTTTCAAAATAAGAATGGAAGTTTCCAAAAACAAATAATCCTTTCAACTGGAGATTTTAGTAATCCAAGTTCCGTTGTCACTGATGATTTCAATAGTGATGGTCAATGGGATCTCGCTGTCAGTAATAGCTATGCGCACAATGTAGGTATTTTCATTGGTGTTCGTAATGGAACGTTTTTATCACAGATCACTTTTCCAACAAACTCTCAAAGTATTCCATCTGCAATCACTTCTGTAGATCTCAATAATGATGGGCAATTAGATCTGATTGCTATTGGTAATAGACTGAATGCTATACATATCTTACTGAATACATGTGATTGTTGAGTGTTTTAAATGCTACATAAAAGTATGTTACCTCACCCATAAGCTTTTTCGCATCTTTGCTCGACAATTTTCATCGCTTACTGTTTGCATAAATGTCAAAATATAACTGAAAAATGAAATAAAACTCGAGTCAATTGAAGATATCTTTTCAAATTGTGGATGTGGGTGAATTTTCATCCAGAAGATCTTTGTATCATTTCACGTCACAAATCAAACAATTTCAATTTCATGAAATAGTCAGATGTAATTGATATTTGTATCAGAGGTGTGCGGGGCAGCAATTTTTCATGCCCCGCGGGATCCGATCTGTGACGCTTGCTGACCCGCTCCGCCCGTCCCGCGCAAATTTTTTTCTTGGAACTCCCCGACCCGCTCCGTCCCGTGCGTTTTCTAACCCGTCCCGCCCGACCCGTTAGTACTACATCATTACCCCGCCCGTCCCGACCCGCCAATTTCTAGACGGGCCCGCCCCGTCCCCGTGAGACCCGAACGAATTTTTTTATTTTTTAGATTAATTGCTTTTTTATAATTTATTATACATAATTGCTCAGTTTATTAAAAAAATATTGTAGAAAGTTTATAATTGATTGATTCCATGATAAGCAGCTGCTCGCACGAGTATAATATCACTCACTCTGGGTGAATCGTACACAGTACTATTCGATGAACTTTTATTAGATGCAGCACCAGTCTTTGGAGATGAACAAGATATATCTGATGATGTCATACTATCAAACGATTCATCAGATGATAAATCATGTAGTTCAATCATTGCTATTGATAGGACAAATTTCATTACAGGTGTCAATTGAAGAAAATATCTGATAATTAGTTTTCGTTTCATCTTACAATGGAACCAAAC